AAGACTTGAACATCAATGCTATTTGTGAAAACCTCTAGGTTACACTTCATAATTCATTGTCAGCACAGAACTTGCTGGTGATACTCACCCTCTGAGCTGTACTGCAAATTGCTGAGTAACTATCCTTTGTGCCCTGCAGGTGAGCATGCACATTTTGTTTGAGTTTTGCTTGCAGGTGGTCTGCACACTGGCTGATCAAAGTGTCCCCTTTAGTTCTGAGGTTGTTCAAACGGTCTTCAAAACCAGCAATTTCTTCCATCATTGCCTGCAAAAAAGAAACAAATACAGAGTTCTGATAATTCCACTTTTAGTTTTAAATAACCTATTCATCGAAGTTTAAGATCAATAATTTCACTGTCTAATAAAGTTTTTGAAAGAATTTTGCAATTTATCTTGGTTACATATTAACAAATGAAAAAGAAAAAGCACATGTATATTTTCAGGGATACTCCAATGGAGCGTTAATGAGTTTAAGGGATTAGTCATGTAGGGAATGATGAAGCGACATTTAAGACTAGAGCGTGTTCCTGGCTGGTCTCAGCGAAACATCTGCTCCATGGTATTATTGCTAGAGAAAAAGATGTCCATACATTTTTCAGCTGTATAAATTATAATTCTAGCATAATTTTTATCTTAAACAATCTAACCACTATTTAATCTAATTTATCTAATATCTAGTTTCTATAATAATCTAATATCTAATTATTAATTTATGTGATATCTAATTTACATCAAAAATATTTATATTAATAAAAATAACATTTATACTTACCACTTATTAAGCACTTGCTACAGTCCAAGAATTATACACAAGCTCTGATAAATGTTTTACAGAAGAGGAGACTGAAGCATAGAGAGGTTATATAGCACATTCAAGGTCATACGACGAGTAAATTGCAGAGGGTCCAGCTTTGGATCCAGCTTGCCTGATTTCAGCTCACATCACTATCCCCACATGTATTCTCTAGTGAGCATGCTCATAGATAAATACTCAGGGAGGAGGAACCAACTTTTTCAAATCAGATTTTAAATGCTCTCCTGCTATATGATGCTAATGATGAGTGACACATGCCAACACAAGGTCGCCTGGGTTGACACATAGGTATATCTAAGGGAACAGGTGGCCCCTCATCAGTGTGGGATTCATCAGTTTTTAAAATGGTTCTGGGTTAGTGGTTTTTTAATACATTCCATTGAAAAGAACCATTTCGTCTTGGAGTTGGAATGGAATCACTGCATCATTAGGCTATTGATGGGACAGACTATTGACTGGTTGGTATCTTCTCAGTGTCTAGCAGAATGTACCATGTAGTTGCTTTTCTACTCATATTTGTTCAATAAAATCTCTTCCTACAGACAAGAATGCTGAGGCCTAGAGAGGTTAACTGGCTTTCTTAATACACACTACCAGATATTGCCCACATCATGACTGAAATCGTTTTCCATTGAAATCACCAATAAGTTGCTCCATAAAACTGTGACTATATGACATCTGTCACCTGGTACATAAAATTACTAAAAATACCTATTAATAAAGATAAAATTCCTTGATATCAGTGTTGTGCTTTGTGATTTACAAAATGCTTTCACAAACATTGTCTCCTGAGATTACCATGACAATTATGAAATGGGGCTGGTACTGGTATCGTCCTTTACAGAGGAGGAAAAGAAAGCTCAGAGAGGCCAGGTTCCCTCAGCTAGGAGGGGAAGAGTCTAGCCTGGAATCCAGACATATGATTACTAGTCCCATATCCTGCCTTTGGCTTCCCTTTTCTAAAATAAAGACTAAATTCTGAGATTAAAAAAAAAACCAAAACTATTAGCTGGGGAAAATGCCAAGATTCAACTGTTCTTGATTCACTTGAATATGGAGTTCCACTGTTGTCAATTGCCAGATGTGCTTGAGACTCGGACTGACATGATTCTTTGGATACTACCACTGTAGTCCAGAGATGCACCTGTGCACACATCCCTGCACACACAGAGACAGGGCTGTTGAAGCCGTCCTGCATCAGCTCCTTAGAGATTAGATGTACCTTGTGGTGGGCCAGTTGCTGGGTAATTGTCTCCAGACTGCTCGTCTCCAGGAGGATAGGTGCCACCAGTCGGCCAGACATATGCAGTAGCCACTTTTCGACCTCTTGAAGCTCACTGTTGTAGTCTTCATGGTCTTTGACTTTTGCCTCCAGACTGAGGACATGCTCCTGTGAAACCAGGTGCCCATTAACATGTCAATGTCAAGCCAAAAACCTACACAAAACTGTTTTGTGTTTCAAAAACTCTGTGCAACTCATAGGTTAGTAGTTACTTATATTAGAAAACTACTAGGAGTGGAAAAAACATGGTTATCATGCCATTTAAATGTCCATCTAAATGAAGGAAAAATATTGGCCCATATCACTCCTTAAAATGACCTGAAAGAGAGAAAGGAGTCAGGGCCCGCATTTTGGCAAATATACACTTTCACTGAATCTCTAATCTCTCCTTACCTTTCCTAGGCTGCAGAGGTCCTGGTAATCACTTTGAAGTTTATCTATTTTGTCCTTTAAAGTAACATCCTGCACCAGTTCCAGAAGAGCTTCACCTTTCTCTCTTACTGATTTTACTGATGGTTCATGGGAGAGCACCATTTGTTGAAGTGACTTCAATTACAAAAAAAGAAAAAGAGCCAATTCATTTATGTGAACATGGTGAAACACATAAGCCTGTGGCATGCATGAGAGGACCTCCCTCAAAGAAAGATCTGGTGCATATTTTATGAATCAATAAATGTAAAATATTAAAGAGAGAATGACTTATTGTGGCTAATACAGTTTTTAAATACTGAAGAAGACTGATGCATCAAATAGCTCTTCATATGTGGAGAGGGAAGTATGGAAGAAAATGACAGTAATCTAAATTTAACATAGTTCATATTTCTGACTTCTGCCTCATTCCTTTCAGCAGAAAAAAAATTTCAACATAAGGAGTGAGGCCACTATCTCTAGATTTTGAGCTCATAAAGTTAATTCCAGCTTGAACTAGATGTGAAGTTAGGGAGAAAAATTTCAGCGGTAAACTCGTTGGGATGAGCTAAAAGTACATATTTAAATAAATCAGGAAATCGGTGAGAAAAGAAAAAAAAAAAAAGGGAAGGTCGTGAATCTGATGTGGCACCTTCAAAGACAAGCTTTCAGTCTTGGCAGAGAGGCCAAGGAAAGAAATAGACATATTGGTTGGAGGAGATACTTGCAAAAGCTTCTGACAGGCTTTGGGGTAAGCTTCTATGCGGTAATTATTGAAGACTCACTAAACCATTCAGATCAAATTTAGAACACAAATTGTTCCACATATAATCTTCAATAATTGCTTCAAAAATTTGAGCAGATGAAGTATCTGTATCTATATCATGTATAGCTATATCTACATCACTATTTATTCTTTCAGAAGTTGATTTCTAAGGTGTTTAGCTGTAGTTTGTTAATTACAACTTTTTCTTACAAATACATCATTTTCAATTTACCATAGGCCAGCTTTTAGGCCTTGGGTAGCAAAAGATGAAGGAAAGCTTCTACATGGGACAGATAAAGTCTATAGGTATGGGGTCCCAATGCAGCAAGATTTAGGTGGGGATGACACTGTCAGAAAAGACCTCCATTTATTGATTGATATAATTAGTACATTTACTGATACAATTTTTGAATATCAGATTCTTGAATGGAAAAATAACTCCAAGATGGTATATTTATCCAAATAAATCTGCGTGGTCATGGTATCACTCACCACCAGCAGAACAGACATATTAGGGATGTTTTTTAGCACCCCTATGGGTGACACATGCTAGAAATCATCTGCCTCCCATCTGGTCCCTACAGGACCTCCACATGCACCTGTCAATGGGTAACAAGCATTACCTTGTATTTAGATAATTGAGCTTTTTTCTCATATAATTCCATTTTGGGTTCTTCAGGCATGTGTAGGATTTCCTGGTATTCTGCTATCCACTGAGTCAACGCTTTACATTTATCTGAGAATTCCTTTGCTAAATGAAGTCCTTTTTCCAGGGTCACGTGCTCTCTTCGGACAGTGCTGGTCAGTTCCTTCAACTGCTCCACGTGATCATGGATCTCTTTTCTTAACGTCTCTGCCTCTTCTTCCTCCAAATATTTAAGAGCCCTCTCTCCTTTCTCCCGGGCCGATTTCAGCAAACTGTGGCCTTTCTCCATGTCTTTTAGCAAAACCTGAGAAAAAGAGTAAGTAGGAAGCAAATACAGAGTTAGTCTTACTTTTTTCCTTTTAAGAAAAGGCTTTCAAGTCCCATTCTTGAGTCCACCCATTCTCCCTAAGATAAATTGTTGAAGCTTATAACCAGATTGGACCTGCCAGGAATCAGGAGCCCTCTTTTCTTTACTTCAATATAGGTTTTAAAAGTCTTTATCAATATATCATTCCCAAATCAGAGACATGAAAAGAATTCGATGTTTCCCTCATTCTTAGCAATCTTCCTAAAGATCTAAGTTAAAACTCTTTGTTGAGGCCATCAATTTGAGATAGAATTTTTTTTCTTAATATTTAAGTGTCAAACTGGAATTTGGTTAAGACTTTCATGGGCAGCCATATGTAAGTCATTCACATGACAACACATCACAAATAAATGAAAGCCAGCTTTTAGCCTTAAAGAGCTTAAAACTTAGTATTTGGTGTGGGACGATGAGCTGAGGGTCCTCAGTCTTACGGGGTAGGGATGAATCCATGTGCTTTCAGTACCTACACAGGAGAGCAGGGCAGCTCATGAAAGAGGGAAGGCGGAAGACGAATGTGAAATATGCATGCCTACCTCCAATGTCTTCAGGTTTTTCCCCATCATCGCTTTATCTACTTTATCAATTTTGGTAGCCACATTCTTGAAGTTTTTATGAGTAGAGTTATACCAGTCAGAATAGGAACTGAGGGAGAATTCTGATTCCTCCAAACTCTGGATCTCTTCNGGAAGACGAATGTGAAATATGCATGCCTACCTCCAATGTCTTCAGGTTTTTCCCCATCATCACTTTATCTACTTTATCAATTTTGGTAGCCACATTCTTGAAGTTTTTATGAGTAGAGCTATACCAGTCAGAATAGGAACTGAGGGAGAATTCTGATTCCTCCAAACTCTGGATCTCTTCCTCCAGGAATTTTACTTGTTCCTTTGAAAGAAAAGAGGATATTGAACAGTGACTTAAAGACCTGTCCCAGTGCCCTTGTGGATAAATATGAATCTTCCCCAGAAGCTAATGGATGGAAAGACATCTCGGCTAGTGAGGTTTTCGGGTCTGTGATGAGCAGGGGCCATCTGCTCACCAGCACGTGGAGAAGCAGGGCCTGGTATCTGGAGGTCAGCTGGGTGGCCTGGGAGGCCATTCTGCTGCTCACGTGGCTCTCGTCCAAGATCTCCTGTGCTCTAGCTCCCACGTCCTCAACCTCATCTCTATAGGCAGTGATTTCTTCATGCCACTTCTGAAATGACATAAGCATTGGAGGAAAAGAGTCAATCTCAGCCATTCTTGAATAAGAGGAATATATTCCTTCTTAATAGAAAATTAGTTCAGTGCATGTTTATAATTTTCACATTGAGATATAATTTTGAAAT